CGTGTGTGTCTATTAGAATATGTTCGCATGCATAATCAATGATATAACTATCATTCATAATCAGTTAAATGAACAGTAAGAAAATAAGCTATTATACGTTTAACTGACATTTAATATCTGGATTTATCAGATAAACTCTATAAGATATAATTCTGAATTGTTCAATTATACAAGGGAATATAAAGATCAACAAATTCTAATTTGTTTTCAAAAAAAATACAACATATATGAGTTTAATTTAGTTTTATTTAAGAAGGCAAAATTTTTCACAGAAATTCAAAAGTATAAAAATTGAAAGTTGATTCTTCATCGCAATTATCGAATTTCTTTAATTTCTGAAAGGGCACTTATTGCACAAAAGAGTTCCGTCCAAGTCATCGATTTTTACACGGAATTAACAATACAACTTCCGCGTGTTGTTCGCATCATTTACGACATCGCTAATTGTAATAATGCGCAAGATCCGGCGCTGGCGCCGAACGTCCTTTCTTCGTCTTCGCGAAGATTGACGCGCCATGCGCGCTTAAAATGAATAATGACCCGGAATACGGATGCGATTGTAAAGCGAGCAATCTCGAGGGATTCCCTTTGCGCTGCCGATATACTCCTGCACGGGAAATTTCATTTCACATGTTGCGATCGTATTCGTACTTTCAGATTTATTGTAGCGAAAACGGCAGAGCCCGCAAGGAAATTTCCATTATTCAGATAATCGATTTCGATATCAGGAAAAAATTTCGAACGGCGCTGCAACGCGCCAGTAATATAGGAAATTTAGTGTAACAGTGTAACAAAAAGAGCGTAACATTTTCTGCAAACATTTTCTGAAATCTGGCGGTCCTCGCTCGAGTATTCGTACGTTTAAAAATGTACGGGAAAAATCTGGAAAAAGTGCGATGGGACAGGATCGCCCCATTTCCGAACCTTTGTCAAGCGCATAATGCAATTAGCATTTTATGACAGTGCTGTCTGGGAAATGCACTTACAAGCACGTTTTCCGCGCGTCACTACTTATCTCTCTCACACCAAAAGACGTTTGAGCACGTGCCTTTGACGTTCGCAACATCCGCCGTGCACGACAGGGAATCTTAACGACCTACACTTAAACGAGTTAGACAGCGCCGATCCTAGTATAGCGTGGCAATTAAACACTTTTTTCGATTTGCGAAACAAATAGGATGCTTAGAAAAACAAGAACCGAAGAGCCGTAAGAAATTTTTACAAAATATGTAATTTGTTCTATCTTAATAAAATTTCGATTATCATCACAGCAATCACAGCAATTCTGACCTATTATAATATTATAATTATTATATTTTTACAAAAACAATATAAATACAAAGAATGACTGTAACATTTTTTAAAAATAATTTAGAGGTAATAAGAGTAACAAAAATGAGAAATATTTTAATACTTTAATAAATCTCATGCGCTTTTTTGAATAATATTTATTAGCAATGATGAAAGAGAGATTAATTACTAATGAGATTATCGCATTGTGCAAATATTGTCAAAAAAGTAATATAAATAATAAATATAAAAAAATTGTAAGAAGAATTACATCTTTTAACGATAATATTAATAATGAGCTAAATACAGAATTTTAACATCTCTTTTGACATTATGTCTATGATACAAAAATTACACATGTAATTTGCATAACATACTAAAAATAAATGACTTACGTGAATGTACTAAAACGCATCTGTTGGAACAAATGAATGAAAATGAAGGGATAACACAGAGAAGAAAATGTACGTTTTTTTTTTCTGGTCAGCTCGTTAAGGGCATCCGTGTGGATTTGTAAACTTCTTGTACGATTCGAATCTCGCGATTACACGCACCAGTGCGGGCAATAAAAATTGTAATTGCTGCAGGAAATTACAAGAGATCGCGATCTCGCACTCGATCCTAGAAGCGATTAAATGTTAGGCATAACTTCCCTATGGATACTACAGTCCATCCTAATGTAACGAGATTCGACGTGGATATCGAGGATTACCAGCTAATATTTTTGGATACGTAGAATGTAATTACCTATTATTTTAACATGTCGAGAGCGATTAAATAGGTAAGCAAATAATTGAAAGTGAGAAAAATGTAAATTAAATGTAAATTAAATGTAAAATAATGTAATACATATATAATATGTACTAATGAACACGTATGAACACATTTAATATGAAGACAATATTTCTTTGCGCTTCCAATGAACTTGATTCATTATCTTATTAGATAATAAAAGCTCGCGTGAAACTGATATCATATCTATTCCGGAATTGAATTGTCAATTTTTCGACACTACTAGATATTAGATTTACATTGACGAAGATACAAAACAGCAATTTGCCCGTATTCACGTCACAAGAGCCTGAAGTTACGTGTACTCGTATAATTTTCATCTTTGATTGAAACTTATTTAATTTCTGACGTGCGCAAATTATACGAGGGTCACGTTCGTTGCATCACCGATTAATGAAAAAAAAAAAAAAAATGCACGCACGTACGTGATTAGCGCAATGTAATTATTAGCCGCGGCGTACAAAGATGCGGCGCGATTGACCGGCCGGTACATTCCATTACGCATCCTATTAATCGGCGGCAATTAACGTGGCGCTATCTCAATTCCGGTTCCTGGACCGTACGGAGGGAGTAAGTGTCGGATTTACGGCGAGATCAAGCGGGGGAGCGAAGGGGGAGAGAGAGGAGGGAAAGAGGGAGAGAGATAAAGGAGCGGCGGGGGATGGAGCATTGAAGGAACAAGAATTACGTGTGGGAAGACGAACGTTAGCAGAGAGCGCGCGTAGGCGAAGTCTCGACGAGCATCTCCATCCTCATCGTTCCTTTTCTCATCTCTCTTATTTTTTTTCTTTTTGTAGTCGTCTCCTTGCGCTCGACGACGACGACGACGACGACGACGACAGACACTGCCAAAAGAAGGATGATGACGAAGACGGCTCGACGACGGGCTAAAACGATGATAGCAGCGGGAAAGAAAAGCGACACAGCCGATTTGTTCCGAACAGGCCACAAACGTTTAACTCCATGTTTCCTGTCTTACACGCAATAGTTTATAGATTTTTCGCCAAGCTTGAAAAATTAAAATTTCCACAGGAATATACGATTAAGTATTAGCATACTAATAATTTTTAACGAAAAGAACGATTGTAACAATTAAACAAAATAAAGAATCACTAGTTCGATCAAACTTACTTAAAATCTCGCATTTTGTGTTAATCCTGCTAATTTATTCTAATCTATTATGATTATTTATATTAGATTTAAGAGTTTTGTAATTCATCCCAGACCTCCTCCGATATTTGTACAAAAAAAATTCTTCAAGTACAGATCGCAAAGGTAAGAATCGCGGACAAACTTGTCGACATAGCGAGCATTGCTCCCGTTTTCTGCTCTGAGAGAAAGGTCCCGCGGCTTGTCGCATGTGCGAAGTCGCTTTTATGCTTGTTCTACCGTTCAAGCGGAACGAAACCGCATAGGTGCTGTCTGTCTCGCTGTTTGAACAAGCGAATGCCATGACACACCGATATTATCTGATATTTAAACGTGCGCTTGTGCCAGGTTGGAACCAAACTTATCTTTATCCGTAACCATATCAAATATTTTTCTGATAATCTGCAAAATAAAGAAAAGTTTCGTTACATCTTGAGCAGAACACTTGAATGTGCATCGAAATAAAAAAATTTCAATATAAAGTATGGTAAAAATATTAAAATATTAAAATATTATCGGGATTACACGAACAGAACAAGTTCCAATCAACTGAATAGTTGATAATGTATCTACGATCTTAAGAATCTAGAATTTTGAAACAGAAAAATTTGCTTTCAAGATGTATGTACATGATATTATCAAATAAAAATTGAATTGATATATTAAATGTTTAAAGAAAAATAAAAAATATGAAAGAAATAAAAAATATTTTTCTTTGGACAATTAAAAATCATATTTTATCATAGAATATAAGGCATAAGTAAGAATGGTAATTTTTTTAAAATAATTAGTAAATATAAATATTAAAATTGATTCATGGTACATATCAAGTTATGAAGTTTACTTTGAAGAAAAACATTATAATTTTTAACATAATATTTTTCAAATTCTATTAATAACAAATATGTGTTTATTTATTCGTTGCACGTGTCGAAGTATCCACGTATTGAGTCATTTTAATAGTATTAAAAAGATTCATATTCAAGATTCATATACAAAAACGAGACTTAATCACTTACTCGGTCAACTTCAGATAATCACGAAGTGTCAAAATTTCTGTTACAATGCACAAAATTTCGGATAAAGTTACAAAGTAGATAAATTAATGGTTTAAAGAGATCTCCAAGAATTAACGAAGAACGCATAGAAGCAGAAACGGCAGAATTTCTACGAGATGACGAAAGTTCTCGAAACAATCGGTGAAGTTATCCGCGTTAACCTGTACGTTTAGAAGTTACAACTTAACTTTTGCCTGAAAGTTTATTTTCAAGTACAAAATGAGAGAGAGAGAGAGAGAGAGAGAGAGAGAGAGAGAGAGAGAGAGAGATAGACGAACTAAACTTA